CATGCAGTAAGGAGACACAAAGATAGGCTACGTGTCAGGCTGAAGGTCTATGGTGAACTTAACTTTCTCGTTCACTGGTAATCTGGGAAGTTCATCAGGAAACAGATTCAAGAAGTCTCGAAGTATCAGGATCTTTTGAAGACAAATTTTTTTTTTAAGTTTGTCGAGTGTAGAGAAAACAATCGAGTTAACGCGTTATGTAATAAAAAAATTGATATGAGGGAATAATATTCAAAACTTTTATTATCTTGTAAATGACTCTTCGTTAGAAAGCTTAGATACAAATTTTCTCATGAAAATAATCAGCGGTGGCATGATACGCCCCTAACTAGTTTAGTTTTAGAAATACATCAGGGTCCCTCGAGTCAATCTCTATCAGGTCATTATTGGTGAAACCGAGTCCCGTGAAAGAGGAGCCAGATGTTGCTGGGGAGGAATTAGGTGGCGCTGTAATGGTACTTGATGATACGGTGGGGGCTCCAGATTGTATTGGGACGGTGTCGAATGATCTAACGGAGGGGCAAGGTTACGTCGAGGTGGCATTAGATCCGCTCGTTGTAGGGGTGGCTCAGATTGTGGAAGTGGTGGAGGGTCAGAAAGTTCCTTCCTCTCTTTTCTGGTCTATTGAGTAGAGATGTGTCTCTCTAAAATCCCGAAAAGCCGATCGACATCTTCTCAAAGCGACCCGTCTGGGGTTCCCCTATTCAGTAAGGGACCTCATCTTCTCATGTCCTTGTACTTATTTTTCACAAGAAAGGAATGGGCAATAGTTCGTATTTGGTATGTTTAAGTCTTTGTGTAAGGAATAGTTCAGAGGAATCCGACACTGATACCAACTGTAGAGCCCTGGAATTTAAATGAAAATAAAATTATAAATTAAATTTGGAAGCGAAATAACAGAGTTATGGCTTAAATTCTTTACATAATACTTTACAATACTCAATAGGGCTACGTGAATATTTATTCTAAAAGAACAAACGAAAATCAAATAAATAAACAAAAAGCAAATCATTAAGCATCATAGGACGACTTTTATTAGTCTTTGAAGGAATTTCGAGTGGTGAACTATTCACAACTCCCATATTGATCGGGATCTGGAACTTGGTTTTCTTGATCTAAAATAGTTAATGAAAGGGTGAAGTACACTACACTAGTAAGAATATTACACAAATCACAGACATGAAAAAATGAAGATTGGTAAAAATTAGAAAAACAACCAATGGAGCCCTTAATTTAATATAAATTCATTTATTATAAAGAAAACTATTTATTTTATATTTGTACAACAAGTCTTTTCAAACAATAACTTATGAAAATTTGTATTCATACACTATTATTTATCATATAGAAGATAACAAGAAATAATCATTTTATATTTTTACTCACTTACCGGTACCATTGGGGGTCCATAGGGATATCTTTCTACTCACGGACCCAATATCCAATTAAACAATTAACTGGCCGTCCCCATACTCTGTTCGGTAATGAGCGCCAAACATTTCACCATCTCGATACTCCGTCCGATGTAATGGTGAACCATATATCCCAAATCTTATAGTGGCAATTCGCCTCGGTCTTTCCAATTTCGGTTGGTTTAGGTCGGTTTTGATCGATTTTACATGTAAACCTACGAAAAAAATGGGATAGAAAGTCTCAGTTAGCTGGAAAAAGTAAAAAAATCAAAACTCACCGGCAGGGGGTCCTCGGGTACGGCTGCTCTGCCAGTTCTCTTTCGCGGCTGAGGTTATTTTTTGGTTAACTTGCACCATAAAAGAACGATGGAAACAGTGGTAAAAAAATCACCTGAAATGAGAAACGAGAAGGCGGTCATTAGAGAAGGTTTTGGGTTTTGGCTGCAGCGGCTTGGCCGGGCTTTACCCATGGTTTCAGACTCACTCATCGATCATTTGGCTCCAATTTAGGTATAGAGAGGCTTGGGATTGAATTTCAATCGTGAAAGGGAAAAAATATCTATTTTTGCATCGGTGGTGGCTCTGATGCAGTAGCGACAATGGCCGACCTCCTTGTTCGGCATCTGGTTCCTTTTCCAACTGTCCTTCTTCTTCTTCTCCGATCATCCCTCTATCGGCTAAGTTTTCAATTCCCTGTGAATAGGAGTTTAAATACTCATTTCTATTCAATGCAGGCCGCTCGTTTGAGTCGACGTGGAGTGAGGAGGACTGTTTGATGATTTTTCGTTTAGGCTGATTGCATGGACGAATATGTGTCGTCCATCGCGATCAACCCCATTTGTCCGATCACACCTGAAGAGGAAATGCATCTGCGTCATCTACGCATGTGAGATTTAATTTGGACCGTCGGATCACCAATTACGCTAATCGCCTGCGTGGTGTCGATGTTAGCGTATTTGTCATGTGGCGTGCTCTGGTTCGCCGTGACTGCTGACTGGATCGTCGCACGTGACTAAACTTTCTCTTTTTACGATTTTACCCATTGTTTTTAAATTTCTTTTCAAAAATACTCATCTCATTCTCAGTTTCTCCTATTTTTGTCAAAATTACTTTCAATTTTGTCTCTGATATATTTTTTCTCAATAATGTAAATAAATTTAAATTTTAATTATTTTTATATATTTATAAATAAAAAAATTATATGTGGCTAAATTTCTTTACTCGGGTGGGTGTTATAAGTATGACAATAACATTCTTGGAAACTAATATGGTTATTCAAAAATAATTTAAGAATATTTTAAAAAAAGAAAAAATTGACAATGGAATTTTTTTTGAATATTTTTAAATGGCATAAATGCATCATAAACATCTTGGCATAATAAAACTTAAGCATTTGAGTTAATTGTACCAAAATTCCAGTCGCATCAATGTAAATCTGTTTGCAGGTGAAGTGGGTTAGGTAAGAATTTATCCAAAAAAGAATAGATAATTTATGGAGACGCTTAGAAGAGGTTACCAAAAATTTGAGTGAAGTAGAAAAGTAAAATTAGGCAAGACATTATTATTACTGGTTTGAAAAAGGGAAAAAAGTTACTGCTTGGGTAGATTTTGATTGGAACATTTCACTTCCATTCCTAAATTCCCAAACTGGCTCTTACCAAAAAGATTCTGATGTGAGCTGATCATCCCCTGTCCCCATCAACATTTATCAATTATTTTTGCTAGTGTTACGATTTATAAGTATATTAGTAGGACTATCGAATATCATATATTCAGATGAAAAATCTGATTTTATTTATTTAATATTTTTTTTAGTTTTTATTATGTTGTATAATATAATAATCCTATCTCACCCATCTTCCTCCCTCTTTCCCCACTATAAATAACCCACCTCACCTCATACCCATTTGCTCAGACACTTCCCACCTCCTTCCTCCTCCCTCCTCCCAAAACTTTTCAGCTTCATTTTCAGATACTACAATGGTGTTATCGTCAAAATCAGTGACGGGACATCAGTTTCCGTTCATGGGTTCTACCCATTCCAACCCATTCTTCCCTCCCATTCCTCTCATAGACCTCTCCCAACCCGACTCCAAACACCTCCTCGTCAAAGCCTGTGAAGAATTCGGATTCTTCAAGGTCATCAACCATGGAGTCCCTATGGATTTCATCACCCGATTAGAATCCCAAGCCAACAAATTCTTCTCATTGCCGCTCACCGAGAAACAAAAAGCTGGGCCGCCGTGTCCCTTCGGGTACGGGAATAAGAGTATCGGTTCCAACGGCGATGTCGGCTGGGTCGAATACCTTCTTCTCACCGCCAATCATGATTCCATCCTACAAAAATTCGAATCAATTTTTGGTGAAAACCCAGAAAGTTTTAGGTACCCGGATGAAATAAAACAAAATGAAATATATACCCAAAATCGATTTAAACCCAAATTTTATCTTAATTGAAATGGGTTTGTTTTTGTTGCAGGGATGTGTTGAATGATTATATAGGGGCAGTGAAGAAAATGGCTTGTGAGATACTTGAAATAATGGCGGATGGGTTGAAGGTTCAAGCGAGAAATGCTTTCAGCAAATTGTTAATGGATAAACAGAGCGACTCTGTTTTCCGACTGAATCATTATCCTCGATGCCCAGATTCTGAAGCTTTGAGTGGTAGTGATTTGATTGGATTTGGTGAGCATACAGATCCACAAATCATATCTGTGCTTAGATCCAACAACACCTCTGGCCTGCAAATCTCTCTCAAAGATGGCACTTGGATTTCAGTTCCACCTGATGAGAGCTCCTTCTTCATCAACGTTGGCGATTCATTACAGGTGAAGAATTTTCTTTCATTTTGTAAAATACCCAGAAAATGATTTTACTCAATTCTTACTGTTTGGATAGACTGAGGGTGTATGAAAAAGTTTTTTCTTGGTTTTTGTTCATCTTTCTAAGATATCTTACTTCTATCTCAGACTATATATATATATTTTTTAATATTATTTAAAAAATAATCTTAATTTGAAGTACCACTGTTATTATTTTATAAAAAAAAAAAAAAAGAAAGATTTTGTTGAATTTTGGGTATTTGATAATTGGATGGGTCATAATCATCATGGCCCTCTAGAAAGGTGTTTTTCTTTTGGTGGTCAAACATGTTGTAATAATTTATCATGTGTACATTTATTAGGGTTTAGCTGTAAGACCTTGTAGAAACTTCATATTCAAATGCTGATATTATTATTATTCTTTACTTTTTCTCTTTGAGTTTTTTTTTTTTTTTTAGGTTATATTTTTTGCAGTGTTCGTATCTCGTTCATGATCATATGTGTGTGATTTAATCAATGAAATTTGAATATCATGCAGGTGATGACAAATGGGAGGTTTAAGAGTGTGAAACACAGGGTAATGGCAAATGGGGTGAAAGCAAGAACATCGATGATTTACTTTGGCGGACCTCCGTTGAGTGAGAAAATAGCTCCTTTGCCTTCTCTCATGGAAGCCTCAGAACAAAGTTTATACAAAGAGTTCACATGGTTCGAGTACAAAAAATCTGCTTACAACTCTAAACTGGCTGATAATCGACTCATTCATTTTGAGAGAATAGCCGCTTCCTATTAGTTCCCATATAAACACACTACTCATCAAAACCGTAGTAATCATATATAGTGGTCAAAATGTATACATAAAACCAGCCATGCACATTAATTAATAGGAGAAAAACAAATACTTTTTTTTTTTTTTTTTTTACCCTTTATGTCTTTTTTACATAAATGATAGAAAAATTAAATTAAAGCTTGTGAATTTTCTTTCAATGTATCTATATATGTATATATATATGTTGTACGTAATCCCTTTCTTCTTCCATATTCATAAATGTGTTTTTCGCTTTTAAATTTTGGCTTCTTCTTAGCATTTGAGTCAATACATGATTTCATTTTCTTCTTGTCAATTTCAATGGAAATCTTATCGTAAAACAAAATGAAATTATATAAATGAATCTTTTGGGGGGGGTAAATATTAATATAAAAAATAAAAAATGTATGTAGATATATAGATATATGTGTGTGTGTGTGTGAGTAAGAGACGTACGGTGGGGTGGGGTTAGGGACCACGAGGACAAGACAATACCGTGGCGAGAACCGCGTGGAAACTGGAAGGACAGTGTCTTCAGATTGAGACACCTTTCACTTTTCTTTTATTTATTTGTTTTTAAAATTTTGTATTATTGTTTATATATATATATATATAGAGAGAGAGAGAGAGAAAATATTGGTAAATAAATAATAACTATAAAAAAATTGAAGCAAAAAAAACATTTTTGGAACACGTGGAAGTAGATACACCACTCAACTAGGGTAGTAGTGAGTTGAGCCGTGGCTAATTTAAGTTCCACATGAACTTCTGCAAAAAGTGCTTACATTACATGAAATCAGCTTCATATATATATATATATGTGTGTGTGTGTATATATATATCTATTATTTTTATTTTTGGTATTTGCTTCATTTATTATATTTATTTGTAGCCAATTTCGGTTATTTACATGTTTTTGTATATGTATATTGTATAATGTAACTGCCTAGTGCCTGAATATTGAAGAACTGGTATTCAACCAACTTTCAATTTTCAAGTTGTGAGAATAATTCTAGTAGGAAGATTATATGTATACATTCATAAAACAAAATGTTTATGTTAACTTAATATTATTACATAACAAATGATGAAAGGACAAGTTGCCTGTAACTCAAAAAAACAAAAAAAAAAAAACAATAATAATTCATAATCATTACATATTAAAAGTATTGTTAGAACAAGATTTAAACATGATATTAATATTTTTTTATTTTTAATTAAAATACATCGAGAGCGTATAAGAATTATAAAATATTTAGTAATTTTCCAAATTAAACATCCAAAAACAAATAATTATTATTGAAAAAAGAAAAAAAAATTGATTTGTGAATAGAATATTGAATCTAGTACAAAGATCCAAGCTATTGATGGAGAGACAATAACACAAAGGGCAAAAGATTTATATGATGATTTGCATATGGGATATTGTAATATCTCCCTTATAAACTTGATTTCAGATTATTCTTAATAATATATTTGTAAATTAATTTTTTATCAAAACAATATTAATTTTTTTATTTTCGGCTTTAGGATATTAAGAATATAAAAAATAAATCATCAATAAATCTGAGCAGCAGTTTGAATTTTCTTTCACTGAGAGTGATTTTTTTAGATAAAATATTATTAAACGACATAAACAAAAAAAAAAAAAAAGTGAGCCTACATTTCTTATATTTTGGAGAAAATATGATGTAATATTTTAATTCATTATGCATGCAATACTATGTAAGTTTTGATTGAGAATGCATTATTAATGCATTTCATAGCGTTACTGAATTTTAATTTGATTCAATTTATTCAAAATATTATAATATGTGCGCCTAGCTAAACTTGTACATTTTCTAATAACATATTGATATAAGAACTTAACTATGCAAATGTTATTAGAGTAATGAACTTTTACCCATTTATCTTGAAAAATTAATATAAATATTGTTATTTCACCAATAGCATTTTAAGTAGCAAAGTCAAAACTGTACCTCGATACGTTACTATTTCCATACTAAAGTTTAAGTTGACTCACTATGATCACTATTCTATTGGAGTTGGGAGGAAGCTCAAAGCTAAAGAGATTAAGTATTAAAGAATTATCGCATGTATTTTTGAATATTTACTATATAGAATTTAACCATAAATTACATATTTACTACATAATTAAATCAATTTTATTTATACTCCAAACTTCATAATAAATAATTTATTAAAAGATGAATTATTAAAATATTTAATTTGAACTGAATATATGAAATTCACTGGAATTTAAAATGACATTCACATTTAAATTATATGTGTGTATTTTGTAATTTATTCTTATATTAAATTAAAAAAATTCCATAAATTGATGAGTATAATTTACTTAAAGAGAGTTGCTCTAACGTTCAAGTTAATAGAAATGGAAGTAAAAAAGTTGATGCAATAAATTTATTTTACAAATTTTTGAAATTCTCATGAGAGACATTTTTAACTACTTACATATATGTTAATAGATTATTGAATACTGTAACGCTAACCTACTCCCCTTGATTATAAAATCAAAAACATGAATTACGAGAGCGTAGGGTTTGTGGTCCAACAAAATTGTTGGTACGAAGAGATGATTGAGGGACGTGGCATTCTATAGAAAAGTGGAGGTGTCCTTCTTTGAATTAATGAAAGCAATCTACCAATTAATTCCTATTTTTCTTTTTCTTTTTCTTTTTACTTTTTGTTTTCTTAATTCATAATAAATTTAATTAAAAATTTTGTCCCCCTAAAACTATATGCCCAACTTTACTTTTACACTTCCAAACCTCCTACTACTACTACTACTACTACTACTACTGCTACTGCTACTTCTTCACTCAATTATATTATTATTATTATTATTACTACTATTATTCTTTATTACGATGTCACGAAAAACAAAAAAAAAAAAAAAAAAAAAAACCCAATCTGGCCCTCCCCCTTTTTGTGTCTCATTAAATTCCAACCCATCAAGACCCGGCCCGAAAACAAAAAAAAAGCCCGGCCCGAAGACAGAAGAAGACCTGCTTCAAAACAGCGTCGGTTTGCGGCACCAGCGTCGTTTCAGAAGAAGCCTATCCCCTGCTTCGACTCATCCAACTCGCGCGAGATCTCGCCAGAGCTAAGAAGCGTTTGACCCAACGGCCGTGAAGGACGGAAGGGGGAGGACCACTCCGGACCTTCTCTATACTATAAAAGAAAGAGGACGAGGCGTTGACGAGGGAGAGTTAATCAGTAACGGAGGAGAGGGAGAAATGAAAAGAAAGAGGAGTCCGTTTTGATCAAGGGAGAAGTGAAAAGGGGAAGAAGTTGGGGCAGTCCATCGGCAACGGGAAAAACCAAGGAGAAAATCTTCAGAGAAGAAAGGGCTGAGAGGGTCACACAGACTAATTATTTGGGATATTCCGGTCTTGGTCCCATAGGTAAATTCCCGAAACCCTAAACCTGCTATTAACTGTTGCCTTTTTCTTCGGTAACTATATATACGATTTGATGAAGGCTGGGTAATTCCCATCATCACAACATTGCACGTGCTTCTCTTATTGTTTTCTATTTACTGTTTGGTTTTTCATTTTTTTCTTTTTTTTTTTTCTCGTATGAACAAGTGTAAGAGGATTACATTCATTCATTTGTAGCTACTGTTTTGACGATAGTTATAGCTATTTAGTTTTATTTCTGTAGCTGTGTTATTGTTTGCTCGTAACTTTGATGTAAGAACTTTAACATGTTTCATTAGTCTTTGACTTAGAACTTAAAATAGAAGACTTCCAGCTGAAATCAATGAACTTTGTCATATACCTTTTCACCCGGGACCATTCTTCCGACCTAATTTCTTTAGAATTGACTTGTGCATCTATCGGTGTGTAATTCCACCTTAAGTGGATAAGTGCAACTCCATTGCGTTTTCTTGAAAAAAAAAAAAAAGTTGTTCTCATGGAGTCCCTGGAGCCTAATCATCTCAGTTGTGACAGACACGAGTGTAAGTATTGATGTAACTTCAATTATTTGGCATATCTAGTTATCTTAAAGAAGTCATTGATTAAAACATAAAGGGTTTCAAGCACACAGACGCATGGCCATATAGGCATATGGTATGGATCCTGATTCTTACCAGTATACAATCATAAAGGGTGTACGTTTGATATATATTAATGCATACTTTTCTATAGCCTATATGCGTATGGGTTCTGAAGAACTGGAGTAGGAAAAAGATGTATACAAAAAAATTATGCTTGTGATGAGGTTATTATTTATTAAAAGATGATTTGATAGCTTAATAGTCATTTTTAACATTTTAAACTGGGGCAGATTGAGAAAGCATGCTTAGAAGCCGTTCCTGGGCTTTGAGATTGATTGGAAGTTGATAGGGAATTCTCATGAAGGACCATATTCATTGTTGTTATTTGTTTTAAAGGATTAAATTTCCAATTTTAAGGGAAGTGTTTTGTCAAAATTGGTAAATTCTTAAAAACTTTAAAGCCAATCCTTAAATTTCATCATCTTTCTTCGGAGGTACTTATGTTTGCTTGACGCAATGTCTTAGGAAACGAGGAGACCTCACCTTCCGCCTCACATCCTCGACTATAAGCGGTGGGTTGCTTAGCTTCATCTACTAGGTGAGCAACTTACTCTAATCTCTAGTGATTCACAATTAATTTATCATGCATTATCTTCATGAATGAGCGTGTTATATAAGTGATACTAAGCTGTTGGAACCATATGGAAAATGAATTGGCTTGAACAATAACGAGTAGGTTTAATTGGGTTGAGATAATCTCTCCTTTTCTCATTCTGTTAAGGCAAGAGTCGATGGGCTCAAGTTGATCTTTCCCTCCTATATGTAAATGTCTTATGGCACCAAAATAAATTCCCTTATATATGTGCAATGCCAAAACCCCTCTAGTGAGAAAGGTTACGGATTAGGCATGTGAATTTTCCTTGAAGAATCACCTCCAAAATTTCTGTTGAGCCAAGCATAAAATTATCTGGGTGTTTCATTTCTTTTATTTTTGCTTCCGCCACAATTATATTGCATATGGTGGTTAAAAATGTTTTATTAATTAGTTACTTTTCTTAAAATCCAAGCAATTGCATGGTCTTGGTTAATTAGAGGATTTCACGAAGTCTATATTTGGTTTCTTTGTTGCTTTGGTCTAGTAGCTATCGTGTGGTTGGATTGTAAACATTTTAAACATGTTTATTGTTTGTATCCTACTTCGAAATTATGGACTGTGTTGGTTCCATTATTGATAAATAGGACAGGTGGTGGATTATGATGCAGTGGGTGGGCTATAGCAGCATCTACCCACTTTGAGGGGATAGATATGCAACCCCATAT